CTACTCTTGAACATTGGCCTGACTAGGTTCAGACCCCATCTTCATGTTCCTCTCTAGTCTGAAACCCTTTTTTCTATAACCCTCAGAACCCACTAATTGGCATAAACGTGTATCTGCCCTGACCCCGGCTTCAGATGGAAGTTCTTGGATCTGACTTTTCGTAGGTTTTTGCTATTGTTTGGGAAAGGATTTCAGTTGGTTTGAGTTGATTTGAGTTGATTGGGTGAATTTCAGGGGGAAGGGGGGAGGAGGTCTCGGTTATGGGTCCCCGGGGGACTGGCCAGTGCAGTGATATAAATATATATATATATATATATATATATATATATATATATATATATATATATATATATAATATATATATATATATATATATATATATATATATATATATATATATATATATATATATATATATGTGTGTGTGTGTGTGTGTGTGTGTGTGTGTGTGTGTGTGTGTGTGTGTGTGTGTACGAGGAGAGAAGAGCGAGAGAACGAGAAATGAGCGAGAGAACGAGGAGACAATGAGCGAGAGAACGAGGAGAGAGCGAGAGATGAGCGAGAGAAGAGGGAGAATGAGCGAGAACGAGGAGAATGAGCGAGATGAGCGAGAGCGAGAGAGAGAGAATGAGCGAGAGAACGAGGAGAGAATGAGCGATGAGCGAGAGAGAGGAAGAGAATGAGCGAGAGAACGAGGAGAGAATGAGCGAGAGAACGAGGAGAGAATGAGGAGAGAACGAGGAGAGAATGAGCGAGAGAACGAGGAGATGAGCGAGAGAACGAGGAGAGAGGAGAGAATGAGCGAGATGAGCGAGACGAGGAGAGAATGAGCGAGAGAAAGAGAGCGAGAGATGAGCGAGAGAACGAGGAGAGACGAGGAGAGAATGAGCGAGAGAACGAGGAGAGAATGAGCGAGAGAACGAGAGAACGAGGAGAGAATGAGCGAGAGACGAGGAGAGAATGAGCGAGAGAACGAGGAGAGAATGAGCGAGAGAACGAGGAGAGAATGAGCGAGAGAACGAGAGTGAGCGAGAGAACGAGGAGAGAATGAGAGAGAACGAGAGAGAGAAGAGGAGAGAATGAGAGAACGAGGAGAGAATGAGCGAGAGAACGAGGAGAGAATGAGCGAGAGAACGAGGAGAGAATGAGTGAGTGAGAGAGAGAGAGCGAGACGAGGAGAGATGAAGAGAACGAGGAAGATGAGCGAGAGAACGAGGAGAGAATGAGCGAGAGAGACGAGGAGAGAATGAGGAGAGAACGAGGAGAGAACGAGGGAGAATGAGGAGAGAACGAGGAGAGAGCGAGAGAGAGAGAATGAGCGAGAAGAGGAGAGAATGAGCGAGAACGAGGAGAGAATGAGCGAGAGAAGAGCGAGAGAGAGAGCGAGAAACGAGAGAGAATGAGCGAGAGAACGAGGAGAGAATGAGCGAGAGAACGAGGAGAGAGAGCGAGAGAATGAGGAGAGAGAGGAGAGAACGAGGAGAGAATGAGCGAGAGAACGAGGAGAGAATGAGCGAGAGAACGAGGAGAGAATGAGCGAGAGAACGAGGAGAGATGAGGAGAGAATGACGAGAGAAGAGGAGAGATGAGCGAGAGAGAGGAGAGAATGAGCGAGAGAAGAGGAGAGAGAGAGAGAATGAGCGAGAGAACGAGGAGAGAATGAGCGAGAGAACGAGGAGAGAATGAGCGAGAGAACGAGGAGAGAAGATGAGCGAGAGAACGAGGAGAGAATGAGCGAGAGAGAGGAGAGAACGAGGAAGAGATGAGCGAGAGACGAGGAGAGAATGAGCGAGAACGAGGAGAGAGTGAGAGAGAAACGAGGAGAGATGAGCGAGAGAACGAGGAGAGAATGAGAAGAGGAGAGAATGAGCGAGAGAACGAGGAGAGAATGAGGAGAGACGAGAGAATGAGCGAGAGAACGAGGAGAATGAGTGAGAGAACGAGGAGAGAATGAGAGAGAAGAGACGAGGAGAGAGCGAGAGAACGAGGAGAGAATGAGCGAGAGAGAGAGAGAATGAGAGAACGAGAGAATGAGAGAACGAGGAGAGAATGAGCGAGAGAACGAGGAGAGAATGAGCGAGAGAACGAGGAGAGAATGAGCGAGAGAACGAGGAGAGATGAGCGAGAGAACGAGGAGAGAATGAGCGAGAGACGAGGAGACGAGGAGAGAATGAGAGAGAACGAGGAGAGAATGAGCGAGAGAACGAGGAGAGAATGAGCGAGAGAACGAGGAGAGAATGAGCGAGAGAGGAGAGGAGGAGAGAATGAGCGAGAGAACGAGGAGAGATGAGCGAGAGAACGAGGAGAGAATGAGCGAGAGAACGAGGAGAGAATGAGCGAGAGAACGAGGAGAGAATGAGCGAGAGAACGAGGAGAGAATGAGCGAGAGAACGAGGAGAGAATGAGCGAGAGAACGAGGAGAGAATGAGCGAGAGAAGAGAGAGAACGAGGAGAGAATGAGCGAGAGAACGAGGAGAGAATGAGCGAGAGAACGAGAGAGAACGAGAGAACGAGGAGAGACGAGAGAACGAGGAGAGATGAGCGAGAGAACGAGGATGAGCGAGAGAAGAGGAGAGAATGAGCGAGAGAACGAGGAGAGAATGAGCGAGAGAACGAGAGAATGAGCGAGAGAACGAGGAGAGAATGAGCGAGGAGAGAATGAGCGAGAGAACGAGGAGAGAATGAGCGAGAGAACGAGGAGAGAATGAGCGAGAGAACGAGGAGAGAATGAGCGAGAGAACGAGGAGAGAATGAGCGAGAGAACGAGAGAGAATGAGCGAGAGAACGAGGAGAGAATGAGCGAGAGAACGAGGAGAGAATGAGCGAGAGATGAGCGAGAGAACGAGGAGAGAAGAGCGAGAGAACGAGGAGAGAATGAGCGAGAGAACGAGAGAGAATGAGCGAGAGAACGAGGAGAGAATGAGCGAGAGAACGAGGAGAGAGTGAGCGAGAGAACGAGGAGAGAATGAGCGAGAGAACGAGGAGAGGAATGAGCGAGAGAACGAGGAGAGAATGAGCGAGAGAACGAGGAGAGAATGAGCGAGAGAACGAGGAGAGAATGAGCGAGAGAACGAGGAGAGAATGAGCGGAGAACGAGAGAGAATGAGCGAGAGAACGAGGAGAGAATGAGCGAGAGATGAGCGAGAGAACGAGGAGAGAATGAGCGAGAGAACGAGGAGAGAATGAGCGAGAGAACGAGGAGAGAATGAGCGAGAGAACGAGGAGAGAATGAGCGAGAGAGAGCGAGAGAACGAGGGAGAGAATGAGAGAGAACGAGGAGAGAATGAGCGCGAGGAGAGAATGAGCGAGAGAATGAGTGAGAGAACGAGGAGAGAATGAGCGAGAATGAGCGAGAGAACGAGGAGAGATGAGCGAGAGAACGAGGAGAGAATGAGCGAGAGAACGAGGAGAGAATGAGCGAGAGAATGAGAGAGAACGAGGAGAGAATGAGCGAGAGAACGAGGAGAGAATGAGCGAGAGAGAGGACGAGAGAACGAGGAGAGAATGAGCGAGAGAACGAGGAGAGAATGAGCGAGAGAACGAGGAGAGAATGAGCGAGAGAACGAGAGAGAGAGATGAGAGAGAACGAGGAGAGAATGAGCGAGGAATGAGCGAGAGAACGAGAGAGATGAGAGAAGAGGGAGAGAATGAGCGAGAGAACGAGGAGAGAATGAGCGAGAGAACGAGGAGAGAATGAGCGAGAGACGAGAGAACGAGGAGAGAGCGAGAGAACGAGGAGAGAGAGCGAGAGACGAGAGAGACGAGAGAGCGAGAACGAGGATGAGCGAGAGAACGAGAGAACGAGGAGAGATGAGCGAGGAGGAATGAGCGAGAGAGCGAGATGAGCGAGAGAACGAGAGAGAGGATGAGCGAGAGAACGAGGAGAGAATGAGCGAGGAGAGAATGAGCGAGAGAACGAGGAGATGAGCGAGAGAACGAGGAGAGATGAGCGAGAGAATGAGCGAGATGAGAGACGAGGAGAGAATGAGCGAGAGAACGAGAGAGACGAGAGAACGAGAGATGAGCGAGAGAGAGACGAGGAGAGAATGAGCGAGAGAACGAGGAGAGAATGAGCGAGAGAACGAGGAGAGAGGAGAGAGAGAGAGAGCGACGAGGAGAGAATGAGCGAGAGAACGAGGAAAGACGAGAGAACGAGGAGAGAGCGAGAGAACGAGGAGAGAATGAGCGAGAGAACGAGGAGAGAAGAGAGAACGAGAGAATGAGCGAGAACGAGGAGAATGACGAGAGAACGAGGAGAGAATGAGCGAGAGAAGAGAGAGTGAGCGAGAGAACGAGGAGAGAATGAGCGAGAGAATGAGCGAGAGAACGAGGAGAGAATGAGGAGAGAGAACGAGGAGAGAATGAGCGAGAGAACGAGGAGAGAATGAGCGAGAGAGAGAGAGAGATAGAACGAGGAGAGAATGAGCGAGAGAACGAGGAGAGATGAGCGAGAGAACGAAGTGAGCGAGAGAACGAGGAGAGAATGAGCGAGAGAACGAGAGAGAGAAGAACGAGGAGAGAACGAGGAGAGAATGAGCGAGAGAACGAGGAGAGAATGAGGAGAGAACGAGGAGAGAATGACGAGAGAACGAGAAGAGAATGAGAGAAAACGAGGAGAGAACGAGAGAACGAGGACGAGGAGGGAATGAGCGAGAGAACGAGGAGAGAATGAGCGAGAGAACGAGGAGAGAATGAGCGAGAGAACGAGGAGAGAATGAGCGAGAGAACGAGGAGAGAATGAGCGAGAGAACGAGGAGAGAGAGAGAGAGAACGAGAGAGAATGAGCGAGAGAACGAGGAGAGAATGAGCGAGAGAACGAGAGAGAATGAGCGAGAGAACGAGGAGAGAATGAGCGAGAGAAAGAGGAGAGAATGAGCGAGAGAACGAGGAGAGAATGAGCGAGAGAACGAGGAGAGAATGAGTGAGAGAGAGAGACGAGGAGAGAATGAGCGAGAGAATGAGCGAGAGAACGAGGAGAGAATGAGCGAGAGAACGAGAGAGAATGAGTGAGAGAACGAGGAGAACGAGGAGAGAATGAGCGAGAGAACGAGGAGGGAATGAGCGAGAGAACGAGAGAGAACGAGAGAGAGGAGAGAATGAGCGAGAGAAAGAGGAGAGAATGAGCGAGAGAACGAGGAGAGAATGAGCGAGAGAACGAGAATGAGCGAGAGAAAGAATGAGCGAGAGAACGAGGAGAGAATGAGCGAGAGAACGAGGAGAGAATGAGCGAGAGAACGAGGAGAGAATGAGTGAGAGAACGAGGAGAGATGAGCGAGAGACGAGGAGAGAATGAGCGAGAGAACAAGAGACGAGAGAACGAGGAGAGATGAGCGAGAGAACGAGAGAGATGAAGAGAACGAGAGAGAGAGCGGAGAAGAGTAGAGAATGAGCGAGAGAACGAGGAGAGAATGAGCGAGAGAACGAGGAGAGAATGAGCGAAGAGAACGAGGAGAGAGAGCGAGAGAACGAGGAGAGAATGAGCGAGAGAACGAGGAGAGAGAGAGAACGAGGAGAGATGAGCGAGAGAACGAGGAGAGAATGAGCGAGAGAGGAGAGAGAGGAGAGACGAGAGAGAACGAGGAGAGATGAGCGAGAGAACGAGGAGAGAATGAGTGAGAGAACGAGAGAGAATGAATGAGAGAGAGACGAGGAGAACGAGGAGAGAATGAGTGAGAGAGAACGAAGGAGAGAATGAGCGNGTGTATTAATATTACCACACACACACACACACATACACACACACACACACACACACACACACACACACACACACACACATACATATATACATATATAATATATATATATATATATATATATATATATATATATATATATATTAATATATTATATATATATATATACATATATATATATATATATATATATAATATATATATATATTATGTATATATATATATATGTATATATAATATATATATATATATATATATATATATATATATATATATATATATATATATATATATATATATATATATATATATATATATATTATATATATATATTAATATATATATATATATATATATATAATATATATATATATATATAATATATATATATATATATATATATATATATATATATATATATATTATATATATATATATATTATGAGGATATATATATATATATAATATATATATATATATTGTAAGGTATACTCCCGGCTTAATGCCAGGTACCAATCCGTATAGAGGAGCCCGAATTATCTCCCGTGAGGCAGGAGAGGCTTAGGGACCAAGTGAGATCAGGGGTCCCGTTCACTCCTCTTGAAATAAAAAAAATGTTGAAGAGAATCTATTTAGGGTGTTGCTTTTCCTTCTCTAGAGTCCTTCCGCAATAGAACGAGGAGAGAATGAGCGAGAGAACGAGGAGAGAGCGAGAGAGAACGAGAGAGGATGAGCGAGAGAACGAGGAGAGAATGAGCGAGAGAGACGAGGAGAGAATGAGCGAGGAGAACGAGAGAGAATGAGCGAGAGAGAGAGAACGAGGAGAGAATGAGCGAGAGAACGAGGAGAGAATGAGCGAGAGAACGAGGAGAGAATGAGCGAGAGAAGGAGAGAATGAGCGAGAGAACGAGGCGAGAATGAGCGAGAGCGAGGCGAGAATGAGCGACGAGAGAAAGAGCGAGAGAACGGGGAGAGAGCGAGAGAACGAGGAAGAAAGAGCGAGAGAACGAGGAGAGAGCGAGAGAACGAGAGAAAGAGCGAGAGAACGAGGAGAGAGGAGATGAGCAAGAGAACGAGGGGAGAATGAGCGAGAGAACAAGGCGAGAATAAGGGAGAGAATGAGAGAGAATGAGCGAGAGAACGAGGAGAGAATGATCGAGAGAACGAGAGAATGATCGAGAGAACGAGGCGAGAATGAGCGAGAGAACGAGGCGAGAATGAGCGAGAGAACCGAGAATGAGAGAGAGAATGAGAGAGAACGAGAGAGAGAATGAGCGAGTGAGCGAGGAGAACGATGAGCGAGAGAACGAGTGATGTGAGAAACGAAAAGAGAACGAGTCAGGGTTAGAGTAGAGTAGAATCAGAGTAAGAGTTGATTAAAAGTATGGTAAAAAAATAAATTCCTACGTAAAATGAAAGGCAGACATTAAAAAAAAGGAAATATTACGTTAAAACAAAAGAAAAATGAGCACCAACACTTGCTGCAACATTACTGCTAAAAAAAATTAAAAGGAAACTTGAAAAATAAAACGTGAATTAAAAGTTAAATGAGCATCACTGGGTATATACTGTCACTTTGGCTTCCGTCTGTATTTACGCCTTGTCTGCCTTTATCACTGCAATAAATGGTTCACGTCCAGCTTTAATAGTACCTAGGCAAGTAACACAACGGGTCAGTACAACCTGAGATTTGGCTGCTGCAGAGAGGGGATGGAAACGCGACAAAGTTCCAGTTGACACTGTTTATTGTTTCACGTCCTGGAGGCTCCAGGATCCGTGACGTCACGGAACGACGAAACATTTTTATACATATAAAATAATAAATACAGATAAAATACACAATTATGATAAAATGATTCATAAAACAAAATTATTACTAAAAATTATGTTAAAGGCTTACCAATTGCAGAAATAAGAAAGATTAGGAATAATCGATAAAACATTCAAATGATGAAGCAGAAAAAAAATTAAAACCTAAGAAATTCTATAAAACATGGAAAGTAATTAAAATAATAAAATAACACCCTGTACCACATTAGTAAAATAGATTAAAGAAAATAAGAACATGTAAAAAAAAAAAACGTCATGGGAGTGATAAACCCTCGACTAATTTATAAAACTGGCAAATCAAGATTTCAGATGTTCTAAAATGTATAAAAACAAAATAAAATGCTAGAAAAATATATATCTTCAGAGGAAGTAAAAGATGTAAAACAAATAAAAATCAAGAAAAAAAATGCAACGTCATGTCTCAATCAGAAATACTGATAACTTAATTCGGGGAGGTCACAACTGGATTTAGAAATTAAATAAAATAAAAACGCAATCAAAAATACTGAACTAAAAGTGGGATCCATAAAACCAACAACTGCAACATTAATGTAAACATAACGAGGGGAAAAAAAAACGGGCTTAGGGGGAACCATAGAAGTCACGCGCAGGTGACAAGTGCGCACAGTGTCGCAGGAAGAGTGCCAACTGGAGTGCACGCCCTCTTGGTAATTAATACACTTCACAATCCTCCCATGCCTTGGGTCGGAGTGGTCAGCGGAGACAGCCTGAAACAAAATCAAAGATTGGCCTGAGCCCCGTTACTTGCCTTTACAACATAAAACGTGGACAGCCAGACGTGTCCACAAGCAGAAGGCAGCAAAAAAAACAAACAGACAAAATACATTACAACAAAATAACTCAGAGTAGATCAGCTCCAGCATCTGCAGCTCTCGAGCGACGCCACAGGCCTCTGCTTCCCGTACCATGGACGTCAGCATGGCAACCCAGGGATCATCTGGGTTAGGGGCCTCAGCATCATCATCGTCACTATCCTCGACTTCCTCGTCATCTTCGACCTCGTCGTCAGCAGCATATGAAAGCTCGGCTGGTGCATAGTAAGCTTTCAAGTGATTCAGATGAGCCTTCATCTGGACTTCGGTGGTGACGTCTTGGATCTCAAAGGACACCGGTCCTAGTCGTTTCAGGATACGTGCAGGGCCGCGCCATTTCCCTGTGAGAGGAGGAAGACCTCCCATACGATGGCGGTGCTCATAGTACCACACAAGGGCACCTTCGGTAGGCTGAAACTCCACCTTTTGCCACGGTCATAGTACCTCCCGTAGATTCGGCGCGCTTCCTTAGAGGCTTCTACAGCTGCACGACGGGCTTCCTGAAGGCGCTCCTGGAGCTTGGTGTTTTCGTCGAAGACAGCTTCATTGGTGAGGCCGACAGGAAAGTTGGCATGCCTGCCGGTAAGCAGGTAGAGAGGCTGTTCACAGTAGTGCGGTGGATGGCCGAGTTGATTTGCAGGCGTAGCTCAGGAACAAATTGATGCCACACTCTTGGGCGATTGTTTACTAGGGCAGTGAGGGCTGACTTAACGACACGGTTAGTCCTTTCCACCATGCCATTTGCTTGTGGATGATACCGGATCGTATAATGATTTGTTGCATGCATTAGTTTGGTGAGTTCTTGAAAGAGATTGCTGGTGAACTGAACTCCGTTGTCAGTCTGAATAACTCTGGGCGGGCCAAAGATAGTGACCCAATGGTCCATGAATGCTCGGTGGACAGCTGCTGCGGTGGTTCTTCGAAGCGGAACAATCTGCAAATAGCGGAGTGCTGGTCTAATATGATAGAGCCCAGCGAACTGGCACACTAGGACCAAAATCCATTATGTCCATTGATACCCTTTCCAAAGGAAACTGTGCTAATGGCGTGTCTGCCATGGGGACCTTCTGTGCATTGCCTCTAGATTGCTGACAGGCCACACAGCTTTCGACATATCTACGGGCATCTCTCAGCATGTTTGGCCAATAAAACATGGACCTCGCATTTTGGAATGTCCGATGTACACCTGGATGTGAAGCGAGGGGAGGCAGGTGTGATGCCTTCAACGCAGAGTTCTTGAGGCTTTCCGGCACGACCAACTGGTAGCAGATTCGGTCTGAGAGGTGTTTCAGCCGATATAGTACACCGTCTTTCAACTCGAAGTCATTCAAGGGCAGGGTAGTTTCTTCTTAGGAAGTGTTCCATCCGTTAAGTACCGTCGAATGTCAGCCAGTTGAGGGTCAGCTCCTTGTTCTTCTGCCAACTTTTCAGGGGAAAGCTCAGTGATAGTTAGCTTGGCAACCTGTCGAGAGAGCAAGTCGGGAACACAGTTTGCAGGCCCTTCTTTGTATCGGATGGTAAAGTTGTAGAAGGATAAGTCATGTGCAAAACGAGTCATCCTAGGGGATTTGGTCTTCCGGGAGAAAACGTATACAAGCGGGCGGTGATCGGTGTATACTATGAAGTGGCGTCCATAGAGATAGGAGTCAAACACCCGAACACCTTCCACAACAGCTAGGGCTTCAAGGTCAATTGCAGGATATCGAGACTCAGGATCACGCAATTTCCTGCTGTAGTAGGCTATGGCATGTGGAATTTGCTGGTTGTCTCTCTGGATCAGGCATGCCCCCAAGGCTATACTGGATGCATCAGTGTGAAGCTCGAATTCCCGATTGAAGTCGGGTTGACGCAGGATAGGTGCTGAAGTGAGCTTCTCTTTGAGGGTGTTGAAGGCAGCTTGTTGTTTTGGACCCCAATTCCAGGCTTGTCCCTTCTTTAGGAGGAGATGTAGAGGCGAGGCAATGGTTGCATACCCTGGGATGTGCTTCCTAAAGAAGCCAGTAGCTCCTAAGAAACGGCGAACTTCTCTCACAGTGCGGGTGGTGGCGTCTTGGAGATGGCTACCACTTTCTCACGGTTGGGCGACACACCTCTGGGGAGATGGTAAAGCCCAAAAAGTCTATGGTGGTAGCTGCAAATTGGCACTTTTGGAGGTTCAGCTTCAGACCCGCCATAGTTAGGAGCTGCAGTGTCTCATCAAGATCTTTGAGGTGTTGAGAGAAGCTTCGGCTGTATACTATTACATCATCAAGGTATGCAAGTGTATGACGCCCCAGCACAGAAGATAGGACAAGGTTCATTGTTCGCTGGAACGTTGTTGGTGCCGTGGACAATCCAAAGGGGAGTCTCCTGAACTGAAAGAGGCGGTAGCCGTCAGAGAAGGCAGTCTTTGGTCTGTCTGACTCCTCTACTTCGACGCTCCAGTAGGCCGCCCTAGCATCCAGGGTAGTGAAAATGTTCATTGGCCCCAGCTCGTCGATCATCTCACTAATATGGGGCAGTGGGTAGGCGTCCCGTTTGGTTACTGCGTTGAGTCCGCGATAGTCGACACAGAAGCGCAGTGTACCCCCCTTCTTCTTTACGAGGACTACCGGGCTTAGCCAGGGCGATGTTGATGGCTCAATTACACCAGCATGGAGCATGGAGTCACACTGCTCCTTGATGGTCTGGCGTGTCGACTGAGGCAGCCTCCATTGTCGATTGCAGACTGGGTTGGCATCACCAGTCTCAATCTTGTGCTTGATGCCAGGCACTAAGCCAACTGTCCCTTCATCCATCAAAAAGATCCTTGTAACGACTGAGCAAGCCTGTGAGCTCAAGGCGTTGGTCTTCTTCCAGATGGGCAAGGTTCAAGGAAAGGTGGTCGCTGTTGTCTCCAAATGCCTTAGATCCTAAGGATTCTGCAGCTTCAATTGTAGCAAGAGCGGATGAGGGTGGTAATTCAGCATCGAGAATGTCCAAGTCACTGCAACCAAAGTCCTGTACTCCATAAAAGCTGTCAAAGTCATCATCTTCCCACTCAAACTCTACGTCCTCAAGCATGTCGCCCCCTTGAGAGCCTTCCTCAAAGGCGTTATTGCTGGTCCTGGCAGCAGGTTCCACAGGTGGGTCTTGAGGTGGTAGGTCTGATGAGTCGTGGCGTATACAGCTTCTATGTATTCTGCCGTGCCTAGGCGAGTTCCATTGTGGAGGATGAGTGGCCGAGAAGAAGGATTCACAGCCCACACCTGACATTGTCGTTCCTTGACTGTGGTGATGGAGTATGGTAAGTTGAGGGCCTCTGCAACTGCTGGAGTCACCAGGATGTCACCATTGGTAGGACCAGTACGCGCAACACAACCATGCAGGAAACAGCCAGAGTGGGGTGGGATCTCTGTACGCTGGATGAGGTGCACTGCAGCTTCCACTCGAGGCTTCTGTCCCTGATCAATGAGTGGAACCTTTTCCTTGTTAATCTCAGCACCTACACTGGCAACCTTCTGTGTTGTTGGCAGGATGTCGGTGCTTGTGACAGGACAGACTCCAAGGGACTGGTGGTCGGTGTACACGACTGCAAAGCTCCTCCCCTCGAGAACAAGGACAGCCTTATTTGTGGCACAGTGAGAAAGAGCGAAGTCAAGTCGTCGAAGAAGATCCATTCCTATGAGAATGTCGCCTGGAAAGGAGATGTCAGCTTCGGCAACTTGGTGAGAGACGGTAAGGTCATCATCCAGGTGGAAAGGAAGGGTCAGCTCGAGGTAACATGAAGAGGCTGGCCTGTCACCCCTCGAAGTATCTTTGAGGAACTTCTGCTTCGAGGTCTATGACTGGTATCCATCAGGATGGCAGCAGAAGATTTAACAAGGGTGGCTTCAGATCCGGTGTCGATGAAACATAATGTTGTCCTGCCATTAACACTGAGTTCCACGAGAGGTCTTCCCGTAGAACCCATTGCACTCACCACGCTGATCATTGACTCCGTCTGTGTGCTGGTTGTAGTTCCTGCTCCCTGCTGCAATGCTGCCAGTTGGGCTGGGAGCTCTACCATTCTGGCCAATCTGAAAGGGACATTCCCGGCTAAATGTCCAATCCTCCGACAACGAAAACAAGTCAAGCTTCTGGTGGTGTGGCTCTCATTGCGGCTGCTGCTGCTGCACGACAATCTGAAGTTCGGTGGTGGTGGCTGTGATGGAAGTTGCACCATTGGGTTGGAGCAGGGTGTGATGGCATCACCTCATCTTGCTCAGTTGAAACAGGACAGGAGTACAAGTCACGGTTGCGAGGTGGACGGTCTGGGTAGTGACGTCTCTCCAAATGGTCACCCACAGGCAAGTCATTCGGAGACTGGTGGCGTGTAGTCGATTCCCTATGCCTTATACCATTTCGGGAATTCCAGACTCTTTGTGCAGCCTCGGCAAGTCTTGAGGGTGGGCAGTCTTCCTTTAGGGCAAGGAAATCCCTGAGCCAAGGTGGAATCCCAGACAGGAATACACGACGTATCAGCTCTGAGGGGTCACCTATGGCTTCCTTATGGTCCCGGTATCCTTGGTAAACCGAACCCTCCAGCTGTTGGTAGAAGTCCATGGGAGCCTGTCCTGCACTCATTTTGTTCTCATAGAGGACCTTGTAAAAATCGGCTGCTGTATAAGTTCCTCGAAACTTGGTCCGTAATGCTGTTTTGAAGGTGTCCCAGTCTTGCATGTAATCAAAGAGTGGAGAATTGATTATGAGGTCTGCTGGGCCTCGGCAATTTGCACGCGCAGCTTGAATGAAGGCTTCACTTGTTGGTGGTTTTACCAAGTTTTCTATGGAGCGTACCCAGCCTTCAATCTCTTGGTTTTTCTTCAAAGGGTTTGATGCTGACGTATCCCCCTTGAAGTGAGGGATGGATTCCCGCGCGAGGACATAGGACACATTTTGGGCTGTCCCCAGGGGCAAGGTGGATCTCCCAAAAGGAGGTTGGCAAAATGGAGGAGCACTCGCATTACCTGAAACATGTTCTCGTGGTACACGTTCTGGCGTAGGTGGTCGGCTACGTGGAAGAGGTTGGGGTAGATCACGGTATGTCCCATGTTCTCGCCTAGAAAGCTGAGGTGCTGGTAACTGGGAGGATCTTGCCTGATTCCTCCTCCTTTCTTCCTCAAGCTCCCTTTCCTTTTCTTCAAGCTGTCGTCGTAGCCTGGCAATCTGTCCATCTCTACCTTGCTCTTCCCGAGGAGGTCTTGGACTGAGATTCAGAGCTTCCCCTGGGTTGGGCTGACCAGCCATTACATTTTGGTTAGGTACTCCCTCCTGCTGACTGGTCACTTCTGCCTGCTGACTGGTCACTTCCACCTGCTGACCCGATGCCTCTTCTTGCCTAGCAAGCCGCTCGGCGAACTGGTGGGTCTGCGCCTTCACATCCTTCAAGTCCCTAGATAAGGCCTCGATCTTCTCCAGGATTTCCGTAAACAGAGTCATCTCACGGTCCATCACTAGCACGGCTTGCCTTACTTCAGGGTTTGACCCGTGACAACGACTGGAGGTTGTTCTGCAGAGGGTCCTGGCACTGGTGACGAAGCACGCGAACTGGGCTGACTCAATGACTGGGCTTTCTTACTCCGAGTATGTCTCTCT